GCATAACGCAGGTTGTTGATAAATCATCCACCAATCTTGGCCCCACATTTCTCCTCATAGAGCCCAGCCTCCAGGAGGAGATAATCCATCTTTTTCCTGTGGAACTGCTGATTTTTTTAATGGGTAGAACAATAAACAGCAGGATTATTTTTTATTGTTTTTAAATTGTGATTTGAATGGAAGTTCATGAAACATAAAGGGGAGTTTTCTAATCATTCATGCACACTTTGTTCCATAACATCAATTACAATACACACAATAATTGTCCATTAATTCTGTATTGTTTTTCCCTTCACCCAATGTAGACAGTCACTACATCTGAGTTGTAGTTCAGTGGTGGCATTCTTCTCCAAACCAAAGGAATAATTGTGGTTTAAAATATCATTCAGTTAGTATGAGGATCCGAGGGTGGGGGAGGGTAGAAGCAGAAGGGTAAGGATGGTTGGGGCTTGGGGTGTTAATCATTGGGTTGCATAATTCCATGGAGGAGTGTGAAGGAAATGGGAAGGATCTTGTGTGAAAAGCAATGCATTTGGACTTTGTAAATAAATCATTACTTAAACAAAAGAAAAAAGAATGAAAGGGGCGAAAGTCATTTTTAAAACTTGTGATGTCTTCTTAGAGAGCCTAATTTTAATTTGGTCTAGAGTGGGACCAATATTTTGTAATCTCCCACAGATATTTTAAAATGCAGAGCAGCTTTCAATCCTTTGGAGCTACACTTAACATTCTCATCAATGTACCAGAGCAGCCCAGGGTAGGTGTTTGCTCTGAAAATGACTTTGTTCTGTTTTCACATACACCGAAGTTAGATCTATTCATGGCAAACTATGAAATAAATAAAATATCTACCTTAAATAGCCCCAAAATAAAATTGCATTCAAGTTCTGGAAATAATGATGGCCCTGTTGGCCTAAGTGACAAAGTAGCTTGGATGGAAATAGAATAGAAACTTGAGACTTCCATGGGTTTAGAAATGAGTAACAAAGAGACTATTAGAGGGTAGCATTGAATAGCAGTTAGAGCAAGATTGGGGAAGGAATGAGATTCAGGGCAAAGAGGTCAACTCGTTTCTGTATCAGGTAACTTCAAAACCAGAAAGCTCATACTCCTGTGCCTATGTATATGCTCTTGACTGTGCTTTTTGTGTATCTCTCTATATCTTCCCTTTCTTCAGTGATATTTTGCTGATCATTTTCTTACTGTGTATTGCCTTTTTCTTTATCCATCTTAATGTGTCTATTATTCACTAATTTTCAGTTAGCAACATATTAACTTCTCATTTTAAAAGTATACTACCTAAGAGCTTCTTGAAAGGAAAGTTAATCCTACAACACTGAACATTCTCTCTCTGTGTGTCTCTCTCTTTTCTCTCCTCTCTCCTCTCCCCTCTCCTCTCTCCCTTCTTCTCTCTCCCCTCCCCTCTCCTTTTCCCGCTCTCTCTCCAAGTTGAAATCTACTCATAGCTGACCCACCAGCAAGTTTCTGGAGGCTGTAAAACCCAAGGGAAGAAATTGCAAGGATCTCGCCTGTGGAGACACTCGTGAATTCAAATTACCTGGGAGGTGCTATCTTTGAGTTATCAACTTCCTGTGGACTATTCCACGAGAGTTAAATGGTTGTTAGGTGCCTTTGAGTCCAGCATGACTCATAGCAAATCTATGAACAACAGATCTGAAACCTGTTCTTATCTGTGCCAGCCTCACTACTTCTGACATACTTAAGCCCATTTCTGCAGTCACTATGTCAACCCATCTGTTTGAGGGGCTTCCTTTTTTTTGTCAACCTTTCACCTTTCTGAGCATGTTGTCTGTCTCCAAGAATTAGCCTCTCCTAGCAATGTGCCCGATTTTTGTCTGATAAAGCTTTGTAAACTTTGCCTCCAAAGAGCACTCTAGAGGTTCGATGGGGCTCCCTAATCCTCTTCACTAATTTGTATTACTTTCTTGACTTGTGTAGTCATTTACCACTTTTGAGATATTACCTGTCTCTTGAATATTGCAAAGCCAAGTAAACAAACTTGAGATGTCATTATTTAAGGAAAAGGAATACTTTCTCATAAATTGAGAGCATTTTAAAAAGAACTATTAAAAAAATTTTTAAAAAACCCAAATTACTGTCACTCAAGAGTTTCTCGAAGTCTCTCTCAGGGAGGAGTGATAGGGAATGGCAAAGGACACACTGACAAAGGAGATTAATCAGAACTGGCTTTGACAAGCATTGTGGCAACTGGACAAGAACAAACGGGGAGGAGGGTAGAGAAAACAGTGCAACAATGAATGAATGAAAACCCAAAATCTCTGTAAATGTTCATTAAAACGAATAAAATTTAATAATAATTTTTTTTAAAAAAAGAGTTTCTCATGTCATTTACTAAAGCAAAGCTAATCTGAGATGATTGATTGTTTATGGACAGTCTAATCAAATCTTAGCTTCTGACATAGTGTTTATTTCAGTATATATTGATTACAAATCACAAATCAAAGCAGGTGTCATAACTTCTTTTATTTTAATATCTCTTATAACAATATGTGTTGACATTAATTCTATTTGCTTTCCTGAAATAATTCTCGTATGCGACACATGTGAATTTGCCAGTGATTTCAAACTAAATGTCCAGTTAGCATTCATCCTCTGAGAATCAATGATAAAATATGTTCTGTGGCTGTGGCAATAAGGAAAAATATTAGCCATATTCTTGAAAAACTGGTAAAATCACCGAGTTCTGATTAAGAAATAATAGTTGACGACTAAGAGAAAATGTCTAAAAATCTTGCACTAGATAAGAACTACTTACTAAAAAAGTCCTCAAATTAATCACAGGAGGATTTTCCTGACTTGCATTTATCTTTCTTGTAATAAACTGCTGGGATGTGGCCCTCAATATCTTTGCATTTTGTTTTGTCTTCTAATGGAATTATTTCTGTTCTTGGAGGAAGCTCATAAGGTTTAGTGTTCTTATGTAGTTTTTCTTCTCTTTTCTTCATTATTTCTCTAAAGTGATTTTCTTCCATTAGCTTTTTATTTTTAAGTTCTTCAGCCTCACATATGGCATCTTCCTTCTGTCGGTTCTTTAGCTCTTCCTGCCACTGTTACAGAGACAAAACATCATGCAGGAGTTAAATATTAATAGTTACTTCAACTAGAAAAAATAAAAGAAAGAAAAATATAAAGATTTACTAAACCCTATAATTGCAAACAAAGAGATCTGGTAACGTAAGCATAGCATATTGAATTGTTAACGGAAGGTCAATAGTTCTAACTGAGCAGCCTTTCCAGGGGAAAAAGATGGACAGTATCCTCTAGAAAAAATTTAGAGCCTCATAGATCTGCTGGAAGGTCCCTGTGAGTCTGAAGCAACCCAATGAGTTTGTTTGCCTGAATTTCTATACTAGTTGTTGTTGTTTTTATGTTCCATCGAGTCGCTTGCAACTCATAGTAACCCTATGTACAAGAGTCCTAAACGCTGCTCTATCCTGTGCCAACCTCACTGTCCCCGACACACTCATTCTCACCACCCCAATCACAGAATCGATCCATCTCGTCGAGGGTCTTCCTCTCCCAAGCCATCCCACCACTCTCCCAAACATGATGTCCCTCTCCAAGGACCAGTCCCTTCTTAGAAGATGCCCAAAGTATGTCAGACGAAGCTTCAGAATCCTTGACTCCAAGGAGCATTCTGGCTTCATCCTCTCCAGGACAAACCTGTTTGTTCTCTTAGCAGTCCATGGTACATTGACCACTCTTCTCCAGCACCACAGCTCAAAGGCATCAATTCCTTTTCTATCATCCTTAGTCACCATCCAACTCTCCGATGGATAGCACGTAATTGCAAAGACTATAGCCTGGATCAGGTGTACCTCAGTCTCTAGCCTGATGTTGTTGCTCTTCTGTACTCTTGAGAGCTCCCTGACAGCTGACTTTCCCAATGCAATTCGTCTCTTGATTTCTTGGTTGCTAGAGCCAAGCAAAGTTTCTACCAGAGGTTTACAGGAAATTCTGGTGGCTTAGTGGTAAGAAAACTATCCTGCAAGCCCCCAAATGGTTCAAATCCACTATCTGCTGAACAGGGAAAGGATGGGCATATCTTTTCCTGTGTGATTCACTCCTTCTGAAAACTTGCTGGAGGGTCAGGTCTGAATTGTTTCCAACTTAGAACTAAGTAACTCCTTAAAAAATTATTTTGGAATTTTTAATACTTGATGATAGAGGTCTTTCTTCCCTAAAATATTTGCTTACCCTGCAAAAGGTTCACCATAATTTTTCACAGTATTATTCATAAAAAAATATGCTCACTGAAGTTGAGTCAGTTCCAACTCATGACATTTTCCACAGCTGTAAATTTTTATTGGAGGGGACTGTTCATCTTTCTTTTGTGGTGTGGTGGTGGATTCTAATCACTGACCTTTCAGTTAGTTCCTATATTATAAATTGTACAGTATGCCACCAGGGCTCCCTACAAAAAAATAAAGACGAGAAAAATGTACTCATGATGATGTTTAGTTGATACGCTATCATTACGTCTATTTTTGAGACTCTATTCATGCTTAGGGCTCTTTTCAACAAATTCACATAGTCAGCTCACATAAATTCTTTATTTCTACTATAAAGAAGCAATTGGCCTTTATTATATAACATCTTTTCCTTTCATTTAAATTTATATTTTCTCTAAGATTTTTAAAATACATTATTTTATCTTGATTTGGTTGTTGATTTTTTGATCTTGTGTTTCTTATAAATAATGATAAAGAAGAAAATACTTTGGGATATAGAAATGTGAATTTGTTATTTTAAATAGGTTTAGGAGTCTTTTTCCCCTCTTTTTTTTTATTTTGTACTGGTTTACATTAAAAGTTCATAAAGTTTGTTAAACAAGAGGCCTGAAGCCTTTCTATAACCATCATCATTTATCAAAATCCATAGTTTCCAAAGGCATGTTGTTTAGGAAGTTAATGTTACTCCTGCTTCCAAACCTGTCTTAAACTGGGAGCTCCACCAAACAGTGTCCACCATGGGTAATCATTATGGCATTAACCAGTGGCACAAGGTTCAGCATCACAGCAACCCCAGGTTACCTCAGTACAGCATATTGACAGAAGAGTGTTGTACCATTTAGAAGAATGTTTCTTCAAAATATAAGGACAATCAATTTTAAATATAAAGGCCCTTCCTGAGATCATGTTGACTCTAAACAAGAGACTTTAATAAGAAACAGCCAGTATAGTAAATAATTGTTGTTATGTTCCATTGAGTCACATGTGATGTATAGTATCCCTATGTACAGCAGCTCTGAACCCTTCTCTGTCCTGAGTCAGTCTCACTAATTCTGACACACCAACCCCCATTACCCCAGATACTGTATCAATCCATCTCATTCAGAGTCTTCCTCTTCTGCGCTGTCCCTCTACCTTTCTGAGTGTGCCTTTGGGATTATAGCACAGCCCCTTACTACTAAGCCACCATATTCAAAGATATTGTTTTTGCTGTTAAGTATCATCTTGTCAAAACAGGACTCATAGTGACCCTAAAAAAAGACCTGAACCCTGTTCTATAACTATCATTGTTTTTCTAAGTTCATAGTTTTCAGAGGCATGTTGTTTAGGAAGTGAATGCCACTCCGGCTTACAAGCTTGTCTTTGTCTGAGAGATCCTCCAAACATTGTCCATCACGAGTAATCATTATGGCATTTGACACATCAGTGGCCCAGTGTTCAGCATCACAGCAACCTCAAGTTACCTCAGTACAGCAAATTGACAGAGCAGTGATTTATCTCATAGAAGAATGTTTGTCTTAAACACAATTAACACCAGAGTCAAGGTCCACAGGACTGAAGGCACAACCAACTTTTAATTTTTTTTTTTCAATTCCAAGGCCTTCTACCATGTCCTGCTGATACTCAACAAGAGGCCTCTTGCCAACAGCTCAATCCAGAAAATCCAATCAGCTCACACACAACTGTGAACAAAATAAAAAACAACCAGATATACAAGAAAATAAAAATTTTCCTCAACTTTACGACTTTCATCCACTTCCTAAACAACGTATCTCCAAGAAAGTCTACGTACTCTGATAAATGTAAATAGTTCTAGAGGGGCTTTAGACCTTTTGTTCAGAGGGTCACTATAAGTCATGCTCTACTCGAAGGCAAACAACAAAACAATCCTAAGGCTTTAGCTGCTCATTTATTACCCACAAAATAGATTTCTCCGCAATAATTTGTTGCATAAAATATTCACTTACTGGCTGAAAAACTCATGCTTTGGTTTTTCTTACAAGTTCTGATAAGCAACTGTAACTTGTGCATTTTTCCCTTGTATAATGAAGTAAATAATAGTATCATAATTTAGTAAAACCATCAATTTTAAAATATAAAAGTAAATATAATAATGACAGTATCTATAAATTAAATATTAAATGGGAGAGCACTGATGCCATAATACACAGGGAGTTGTGCTTCTAACCTAATGTCACACCTCTCTGCTACATCCAATGGGCCAGCAGTTCTGAGGGAGAAAGATGGATAATCTCTTTTGCAATTTATAGTTTCAGACAATCAACTGAGGGTCAGCTATAAATAGGCTCCTATGTGAAAATAAGCTTCTCCAATGATTCTTTCCACAGATGTAGTCAATCTGATTCCTATGCAGTTAACCTGGTGAGGTCCATGTGTCAAGTCACCATTTGTGTTTCTTTTTTTTTTTTTAATCTTTTAAAAAATAGATTTTTATTGGTTTTCATAAAAAGTAGCAGGATTAATCTTAATTGAATGTTGTGTTTAGGGATAATTTTTTCTCTCCAAATGGATGATTTTTTTTAAAAATTTAGGTTGTTTATTTTTCATTTCAATGAACATCTACAGAGATTTTGGAATTCCATTCATTCGTTGTTGCATCCTTCTCCCCG